GGACGGCCCTCAGCTCCCGGCAGCAGGACCACAGCTCATAGACACCTGGGCTGTGATGTGTCCGAGCCCTGAGCCAGGAGGACAGGGAAATCACCTTCATTTGTCGATAGATCCAGTCTGTAAACATCGTCACGTTTCCGTACACTCCTGGCCTGTTCGCCTTGGCGCAGCCGGACCCCCAGCTCGTGTCCCCAATCAGCCACCAGATGCTGTTCTTCAACGTGACCAGAGGGCCGCCACTGTCGCCCTGGGGGACAAGCACGCAACAGAGCGACGTCAAGCCACAACCGCACATGCCATGACCTTGCACAGAGGGTGGGGGTCTCAGTGGGTGTGTGGGTGTCATCTCTCCTCCAATAGGTAAGAGTAATAGAATCCCCAAGAGAGACTATACCAGCGATGAATTTTAGTCTATTAGTAGATGAGCTAAGAGTTACTAAGTCAATTGGTGTCTGTATTTTAAAACAGTCCGATACTTGTTTCTGTTCCATGGACACTTAGCTAATATAAAACCCTGTCTCCCAGGGACATGGAACCTTCTCTCTCAGCGGGGAGAAGGGGCTCATGGACTCAGTGGGGTAGGCAAGAGCAGAAAGCGGCAAACACCTGGCAGGAATCCACGCTGCCCCGCAGGTACCCGGCGCAGACCATGGTGGGCGTGACCAGGTTGTTGTAGACGTATCTGCCGTTACACTGCCCGGGCTCGATGAGGGGCACCATCGCGGCGTTCAGCATGTCCGACGTTTTCCCTGGGACAGACCAGGTCATCGCGCCATCAGTGCAGCCCGCGGCTCCCACGGGAGGGGTGGACCCCCTCCTGGAGACAGGCCACTGCGGACAGACAGGTGGCCCTGCCCCGCCCCTCCCTCCTTCCACCTCCTAAGCCGTCTCCCGGGGAACCTGTGTCACCCCTGCAGCTGGCGGGTCTGCGCTTAGTGCAGCTCTAGGTTTGGGTTTCTGGGGGAAGATGTCCTGCCCCTGGAGCCAGGGAACACCCCCCTGTGTTCCAGAATCGCTCTTGTCATCACTCAGCGACTGGGTTCTGCGGGCTCACCTTGCCCCAGTCATCGCTCCCTCTTCTCCAACAACCCCGCCAGCCAGGAGCTCCTCTCTCCCTCTGTAAACCGGCTTTTCTCCATCCCACACCCTCCTCGTACACTCGTCAAACTGAGGCACAAAGCCTGTGTGAACTGCCCCCAGTCACCCATCCCTCGGGAGTAGACCCAGGATTGAAACCCGGGCCTTGGGCCTCCCCCTTGCAAACCCAGGGCCGTGCTCACGGGACTGCAGACTCCGTGCCCAGGAGCCCCACCTTTCTCGTAGGTGGCCCCCCACCCGGAGATCCAGCAGGCCTGTCTCGGCTCCAGCATCAGGCCTGGGTTGGGCAGACACACCGGTTTCACTTTGTCTGTTTCGAGAAGAAAAAGCACCGTGAGCTCGTCTGGTCTGACGAAGGCGGTGGCCTTCCGCTGGACCTTCCCCGTGTGCCCGCGGCTGGGCCATCCTGCCCGAGGGAAGCCCGGGTGCCAGCGGGTCCTGGCACCCCGCCTTCTGCCCCTGCCGGCGCCCTCCTTCCAACAGGCAGGACGCTCGCCTCCGGAAGTTGTGCGACTACAAATGGAACGACTGGCTAGCTCTGCTTCAAAACACACACAATTAACTTTTCTTCAAACGAAATTTTCCAGAAACAGAAATGAAAAATACAGTGTCTCCAAGTGACAGACAGTAAGAAAGACAGACAGACCCGTGGAAGTTGCCAGTGGCCAGGAGGCTGGCGGGCACTTCTAGCTCCTGGGGCCCGTGCTGGACCTGCCTCCACCGTTGTTTCCTGACTCAAATGTAAGCACCTGGAGGGCAGGGACGTGGTTTTGCGTCTTCTGCCCTGGGGGTGGGTCAGGGGGAGAGGGGGCGCTAGAGGGCTCTGGACCCTTGGATGGACTAGGTTGGGCCCCAACTAAGAAGCGCAGGGGACGCATGTTGGTTTGTTTTCATATCCTTTTAAGTTGTTATTACTTTAAAGTATTTTCTTTCCAGAATAATGTGGAAAACGAAAGCATCTTTACAAGCCAGAGACCAGTTGGCCTCACTGGCGGTGACACTGCCCCCAAGGAGTGTCTGACAACCTTTGCCTGCACAACCGAGGCAGCTCCCGGCATCTAGGGGCAGGGGCCCCACAGTGCACAGACGCCCCCCAAAGAGCCTGCCGGCCCCCGATGCCAACGTGCCACACTCTCCCGTGGTGGTTAAACTGCCCCCCTACGTGGAGGAAAGTGTGGTGGTCACTGCTTCCCTCAACACACACGGGCACGTTTCCAGGTGATCTGGCTTCTGCTGAGCACAATCCTGTCAGCCCCCCCTCCGCCCGCCACCCCCGCCTCCCAGGGATCACAGCCCAGGTTTTATTTCCAGCCAGCCTCTCCTTCAGCTGTGGCCAGCACGGCCTACGCGCCCCGAGCCCCGCGGACAGAGGTGTGTACCGTTAAAAGTCAGCGGCGTCTGCAGCTTCATAAGAGCGATGTCATTGTTCTTGGTCTTGGAATCATAGTGCGGATGAGAAATCACCTTGCCCACTCGGTACGCGTTTCCGTAGAACATGGCGGATTGTCTCAAGATTCCTGCAAAGGCCATCCAGTACCGGGGATTGTTCAGAGGCCTGGGGGGCAAAGGTGAACACCGCTCAGCATCTCAGAGCCGCAAACGCGAAACACTCATTGGATGAGCAGAAGTCAGACGCTGGAGCCCAGCGTCCCCGGGGGTGACAGGACCACCAAAGCCAGCGAGACTGGCCGGCAGGAGTCGGGCCTCCCCAGTCCCCGCCTGGGCCCAGCCTCACCTGCACACCTTCCCGCCTTCTAGCCCCTGCTCTGCCTCCTGGCTGAGCTCTGTGCCCCGTGGGCCCCGGCAGCAGCCCACGGACCCTCGCAATTCCAAGAACACTGTTTCTTGGACCTACCTGCCTCTCTGAGGTTTTAAACTTCGTTTCTGGCAGGACCGGGTCTTACCTGCCTTGATGTGCTAGGAATTTCCTGACACTCAGTAGGTGCTTTATGAATGTGTAGTGGCGAATAGCCTCTAGGTCTCTAGCCCTCACCTTTATCTAGCAGTGATGGCGAACCTTTTGAGCTCGGCGTGTCAGCATTTTAAAAAACCCTAACTTAACTCTGGTGCCGTGTCACATATAGAAATTTTTTGATATTTGCAACCATAGTCAAACAAAGACTTATATTTTTGATATTTATTTTATATATTTAAATGCCATTTAACAAAGAAAAATCAACCAAAAAAATGAGTTCGCGTGTCACCTCTGACACGCGTGTCATAGGTTCGCCATCACTGATCTAGGTGTTTCCCGTTAAGAGCATCCGGTGGAGGGAAGGCGGGAACAGCCTGGGTGATAAACACGGCTTCCTTCTGCTGCCACCACAGCCCTGGCAGCAGCCCACACACCTGTCATGTGTAGACACCTTGACTGCCCTGCCTGAGGCCACACAGCCGGGCCAGGCCCAGCCTCACACTAAACCAGAAAAACAGCTCTGATGAGTGAGTTTTCCTCCAAAACCGACATGTGAGCAAAAACTCTTATGTTTAAGCCCTAGCTGGGTGGCTTAGTGGATAGAGCGTTGGCCTGAAGACTGAAGGGCCCCAGGTTCGATTCCAGGCAGGAACACATGCCAGGGTTGTGGGCTCAATCCCCAGTAGGGGGCATGCAGGAGGCAGCTGATCAATGGTTCTCTCTCATCATTGATGTTTCTCTCTCTCTCTCTCTCTTTCTCTCTCTCTCCCTCTCCTTTTCTCTCTGAAATCAATACAAATATATTAAAAAAACAACAACTCTATGTTTAAGAAAAAAAAGGGGGTGGGGGGGACAGTATCTTCCACAAGAGCTAACGCTATAAATTATGCCTTCCCCTTGCCCCTCCCAGCCGGCTGTGTGGGCAGCGCTGTGGCCAAGGAAGCCTATCTGAGGCCACAGGGAACCTTCCAGCAGGGCTGTGTGTGATCCCCGAGGGTGTCTGAGTGTGGCCTCTCCCAGGACGGTCATCCAGAGACCAGAGCTCCCACGAGGGCAGGAAAGGCAGTGACCCCCCCAGCCCGACCCTGCATCCTTGCTCCCAGAATCCTGCCTTCAGTGGACGCCCGATGCACGCTTGCTGAGGGATGGGCGTGGCCAAGGCATCACGTGCAGTGGCTCATCTGACCCTCCCAGGGACGGAGGAGGCGCCATGACAGCCCCACTGATACACAAGGAAACTGGAGCTCGAAGAGGTCAAAACCCGTCGCTCAAGGTCACGGGGCCACAGAGCCACCTCCCAACCCAGGAGCCGCTTCCCCATGAACATACTCTTCCACGCAGTGAGCGGCCGTCACGATCCACTCGGGGGTGATAATGGAGCCGCCACAGACGTGGACGCCTTGGACGTGCAGGCTGACCTGCCAGGGCCAGTCCCCCGGGGCAGCACTCGATCCGCCCACGATCCGACTCTGGCGGCCCATCTTCGAGTTGACCCCGCACTCTGGAAGCGACAAGCACAACAGAGCAGGCCAGTGAGCAGGACCCGGGCCACCCTGCACCCCGATACCCACCGTGCAGCGTGCGCCCGTCCCCCAGGCCCCGCCAGGCTGGTGGACAGCTATTCCCACCTCTCATTCCAGGTTGTTTGGGGTCTGACTTTTGGAGAACATGGCCTGGTCTCTTTTAGGCTGGAGGGGTGAGGGACATGCCAGTCACCCTGAGATCCCCCACCCCCTCCCAGCACCTCTTTGGCTGCCACTGTGATTCCAGACACCCAGCGTGGGTCCTGGGTGACAAAGGCCCTGGATCTCCCGAGTCCTGGAGGGATTGAATGCTCAGAGGCTCAAGATCATGGAACAAAGTGAAGGAGGGATCCGCCTGTGTGCTGGTCACCTGCCCACCCGGTGCTGGCGGGGCCGGAGGGGGGGCGGGCACCTTGCTCCGTTGGTACCTGAAGTAGCTTGAGCCCAGGGGCTGGGAAGCGACTGCCAGGACCACTGGGAGCATCGGCTAGTCTCGCCCCTTCGGTCAAAGAAGCTGAGCTTCAGGACCGAGAGCCCGTAAAGGAACAGGACGGGCGTCCCGAGCGGAGCGCAGGGCAGAGCCTTCCCTGTTGCTAAGAGGTTTGCAAGCAGAAGTAATGCAAACACAGCAGGGCAGCCACAGGCCTCCAGCTCCACCTCGGGGTGGTCAAGAGGGGCCCCCTTCTCTCTCCACTTTCCCAGACACAGGGGATCTGTGTCCGAAAATACAGGACCAAAAAGAAACACCCAGGCTCACTTACCTATACAGCGTAAAGAAACCACTGTTTTTGAAGAACAGACATCACTACAAAAGAAGAAAGACAGACAGATGAGCGTACCGAGTGGGCAAGGTGATTTCTCATCTGCACTTTTGACCTCTGTGGTCACAATAGATGAGTCATTTGACTCTCACAATACTTAGAATATTTTCCAACGTTCTCACTCCCCTGCCTCCCCAGATGTAGAGGGTCCGTGACCGAAGGCTTGAATCAGGAAAGTAAGTACAGTTAGAGGACAGTGGTGAAGAGCAGACATCGAGAGTGGGTCAGACCCCAGCTTGGCAAGTTATATAACCTCTGTGCCTCAGTTCCCCCATCTGCAGAATGGGCTAATGACAGCACCAACTCATAGGATGGCTTTGAAGGTAAGCATGCAACATCGGCCATTATGTTTATTCTGGGATTTTAAATCAGCCTCTACTTTTTCAAGGGAGCCATTTGTAAACTTTGGTTTCCTATGACTGCTTCTTCACATTTGTCACACAGACAATTCAAGCAATTATTCGTCCGGGAGCAGAAGAAGAAAAAAAAAAGAGTTACTGCTTTGGGAGGCAAACATTTGAGATTTGCCGATGCATCCTGGTGTATATCGAATGTTCCTCCTAATATGCTGAGGAGGAGAGAAGTGGCCTCAACATCCAGGCATTCACAGCTGGCCACGGTCCACTACACACAAACAACGACAGAGACCAACACCAGGCCAGCCCACTGCTCGTCAAAGACAGCACACACACAAGCCCACCGCACAGTCCTGCCTGAGCAGACACACCACGGGCCTGGTCCCAATCAGGGACCCTCTACTGTGAGTGACGGCAGCTTCCATGCCAACCCTGGGGGAGCCGGGTTTCATGCCGCCCACCTGCTAGGAAAAAAGTGCCGAGATGCCAATCCAAGAATCACCCTCGACTCCTGCCAGCATCCAATCCAGAGCCAATCCCTTCTTCTTTGAATCATCCCCCAAATGACCCACCACAAGCCCAAATCCTGTAAGCTGTTTGCAACACCTTCCTGCCCACCCGACCCACGTTCCAAGGACCACGGCGTGTCCCGGCGGTCCTGGCTGAGGGGCACTGGCAATGCCGAGAAGCACATTCCCACAAAAAGGTGTTTTCTAAGAACCGTGAGGTTGATTCTCCAAGGGAACCCGGCTGTGCAGTCATCAGTCTCCAGACTCACTGCGGCCACTCCGACGGGCCCCACCAGCGGCTCAGATGTAAGACCGACAACGTAAGAAATGCCCAAACCTGTACGAATTTTTTTAGGAGTTTATTTGAGCCAAACTGGCGACAATTGTCTGGAAGAAAAATCGCAATGGATTTTGCTTATTTTATATATTACAACCAAAGGAGGAAATATAAGTAGGTTACATGAAATCCATTGGTGATAGATTAGGGAGGCAGGAGAAAGCAAAGCAAGGAAACCTCTGGGATTGGATAGAAATGAAATAATAGACACATGCTTCTTCTACAGAGGTGGGTAAGGATAGTTAACAGTTAGCAATTAACATGATAACAACATTGAGGGGATCGTGGTTTCCACTCCGATTGTGCTTTGAGGGGGGGTGGGAGGCGCAAGAAATTACGTTGACATTCCACAGGTATGTTATCAATTATGTTATTGTAGATGCAACAGACAGGCTCAGTGAAGGCAAAGACTGACCTTTGTTAAAGAAGAATACCGGCCTAGGACGTGACTACCGCCATGGCTCACTTGTGGTTAGGAAGTTTTCATTCCCGACCATCCTATGTGGTTACTTCCAGTCTGAGTTCGCAAGGCCGCCACGCAGGCTGCCCCTGAGCTCCTGGGTTTTAGTATGCGGCCCCTTTTTCATCCACAATAACAAAGGGCAGCTTCTGAGAGCAAAAGGGAAGTCTCCCCACCCCTGCCACGTAGAGACACCGCGAGCCAGGCCAATGCCTTCTCTCTCCCCTCCAAGGCCGCAGCCCTCCTGAGCTCCCAAGGCTCACAGAGGCGAGGTGGCAGCTTCCGCCCCTACTCAGCCCCATCCGCGGGTCACCCAGGGGGACAAGGCAGCACTCAGCAGGTACAAAGGGCCCAGGCAGCTGTGTTTGGCTTCCCTGGCGGGCAGACCGCAGCCCCGCCTTTTTGATGGGCACACCTGGCCGGGCACAGCCCGCCTCCTGGGCGTACCCTGTCACCTTCCCAGGGACAGCAGGCTCGAGAGGAAGTCGGTCCCCCAGACACCTCAGCCAGCGGCCACCAGGAATGCAAACCTGCTTCCGGCCTCCCACTCACGGGAAGGAGGGACGGTGTGATTATCCATCCTTCCCTACAGCAGCACCTGGCCTGCGGGAGGTGGCGGCTGGCTAACACCTGGGAGGAGGGACCGGGACCTGGCAGCCGGGGGAGGCTCGTGCACAAAGGACACTGTGTCTCACATTAAAGAGCCTTCAGACAATGACCAGACCGGGGAGACTGTCAACACCTTAAATACACGCAAAGCAAATCACGTAGCTCAGCCCACCCCTCCCCACCTTCCTAACCAGCTAAGCCGTCGATCATGTGACCTGGGGATCATGTGACCTGCGTTTGGGTTCATTACCACCCACAGGGCACACTGTGACCCACCCAGGACTGCAAGTCAGCCTAGAGGTACAGGAAATGATGGCTGAACTGAGCTGCTGCCTCCTGGCCCTCCCAGGGCATCCTGTGACCCTGGGCTTGGGGCTGGGGACCAACCACCCTGCTGCCTGGGGCGGCGGGGATCCTGGAAGCAGGACTTCAGTGCTAAAACCAGCCAAGTGCCAGGCAAGCAGAGGTGGTCACCCTGCAGGGACCCAAGGTGCTCTCTTCGTTTCTAGAGACCTCCCCTGACGCGCACAGTAGGGTCAGCTCTAATATCCAGATAGTGAAGAAACGAGTGTGGACTCTCCGTTTTGCAATGTCATCTAATAGCGCAGAGGGCACAGGGCACCACGAGATGGCACAGAAACCTTCCCCGGAACGAACCCAGAGCTGCTGGGGGCAGTGGTCCTGCCCAGAGCCCATGCTCCTGGCAATGAGAATCGGCCCGACCCGCAACCGCAGCTCAGAAAAGTCAGCCTCGGGCCGGCGTTGCCCCGTGACGTCCCTGCCGTTGCTCTCATGATAAATGTTTCAAAGGGGAGCGGCAACCGCCAAATACCTGTGGTAGAGCTTTTTATAGAGGTCGGTGTTGCCGGCACTGATGTTCAGCTTCAGGAAGCTGGTGGCCCCGCTGTCATCCACTATTCCTTGGCTGGAATAAAAACTATTCCTGAAAAAGACAGAACATCGCCTTCAAAATGATGGTTAAGTCGAAAGCGATTATAAATCCTGTGCTAACACTTCCCTTGTATGAAATTGAGATGAAGAGGGACGCCTTAGCAGGTTGGAAAACAGCATCACAAACATGGACAAGAGACTGTTATAAGCATCTTTGGACCCTGTTATAAGCATCTTTGGGCCCGATAACCCTGAGGGTCAGGCCAAGTCTCCCACCGGTGGTGATTCTAATCTAGTTTGGGTTAGGCCAAGGAAACGAGAAGGGGGATGGATGTGCATGTACATGCGGCCTAACAAAACTGACGGATGGTAAAATGCCCCAGTTAGAAATAAATTCAGGCCCCGGGCCACGACGGGGGCTTCACTATGCCCTTCCACCCTGCAGTGGGGGTGGCATTCAGGTATTTCATTAGCTAAGCTGCCAATGTTTCTATCAAGTGGTGGTTCATTTTGAAACCTGGCACATAGAGAACACCCTGTAATTGCATAGAAGCCACACAGGGACACCCCAAGCAAGGGACGGTGGTAACCAAATCACACGGCCTTGCCTCGTGGGGGCAGGGGGCTGCCCTGCGTTTCCCAGGGGTGCTCTGGGGGCCCTGGCTGGGACGCTCTGGACGGGGACACCCCCTCTCCTCTCCCTCCTTCCCTGTGGCCGAGTGCAGGAAGGAATTCTCTTATATATGTCTGATGATCAGTGCTCCCACATTGCATGCCGTGAAGGTCGTGCAGGGTCTGTTCCTGCTCACCTTCCCCATCCAGCCCTCCACAGGCACCCTGACCCCAGCCCCCCACCAGGGTAGCCCTCTGTCTGCATCCTGGGCCCTGGTGACCTCAGCTCAGGATGGTCCTGAGTAACCAGGAGTGGATGGAGGTCAAGGCAGGGCTGGGTGGCCAGAGAC